TGACATTAAATTTAAACGTTCCTTGTTTGATAATAAAAATAGTTTTTTCCTTATCCACTGGATTCATTTCAATTTGCCAATATCCAATAGCCATATCTAGAAAAGTAAACCATTTGGCCTTTTCTAGTGAATCAAGAATTTCATAAATCCTAGGTAGTGGGTAAGCATCCTTTTTGGTAACTTTGTTAAGCTTTTGGTAGTCAACACAGAATCTTGTTTGACCATTTTTCTTTTTAATTAATACAATTAAAGAAGTCCAGGGACTATATGATGGTTGAATAACTTCTTGAATCAATATGCTTCAATTTTCTTTTCCACAAATTTAGGTTCAACAGGAGATATCCTATAAGATTGCTATTTAATTGGCAGAGTGTTTTCAGTAATAATGTGATGAGTGATCAAGTCAGTGCATCCAGTAGATGAGTCATCAATTGCAATTATATTCTGATATTGTTGTATCAAATAGTTGAATTGATTTTGTTATTCTTGGATTAAATCAGGTAGTTTGTCTGACTCCTTTTTATGATCCACATTCAAGTATTGAATAAGTTCCCAATCCTTGACTTTGAGTTGACAAGTGATACAAATATCAAATTCTTGTTTCAAGTAATGATTACACCAACAGATTGTTTTTAATTCTTTCCATCCCTTTTGCAGAGGTTTAGAAGTCAAGAGCGGTTGTTGCATGGCTTCAAGTTCCTAGATATAAGTTATTGATTCCTTATGCTATTCAATAGTAATTGTTGACTTATCAATTTTCACCAGTGGTTATTCATTAGAGTTCCCCAAGAGTGTACAGTAAGTTTGATTCTCATTCAAAGTTTCCTCATATTGCAATTCATCAGTTGAATCATTAATTTTCTTTCCTTTTCTCTTATCCAAAGGTTCAATTCCTATAGGTCTTCCATTATTATTAAATTTTGGTTTTTCCCAACATGTGACTTTTATCAAATATTTTTGCCCAAATAATTCAAGTCTATGGTTTGATAGTCATAATTAATAATAGCTTTGGTTTTTGTAATTCAATCATTCCCACAATAACAATATATTGAGTTGATTCAAATATATTCACAGTAACAGGTATGATAATTCTTTTGATAGTGATTGGCAAATCCTTCACCTTGCCCAATGATAATTTTTTTTCTTCATTTATGTTTACAAGATTGATAGAAGATGGTTCATGGATAGTGCGTCCTAAAGAGTCCAAAAAGGGTTTAGAAATAATACTGTTTGTTGATCTAGTATCAATAATTAAATATATAGGATGGTTGTCAATTTTTATATCACAATATAATGCTTCCACAGCTTTTGAATTGGTTGGTTCAGTTTGTTTAGATAGAGAAAATGTTGATGCAAAGAGATTTGAAAGTATAGGGGATTCTTAACCCTTCTTGAGTTCCTTTAATCTTTTAAATATTGGTTCATAAGATCCACTGCTTTAGCAAAGTCCTGCATAGAAAGATTGAGCCATTGATTACAATTGTTGATTTGTATTCTTTTGAGAATATTGGTTGGCCAAGTGTTCAGATTGGTTGCAAATAAAATATATCCTTTTATTATTATCATTGTTGAACTGATTCCTATTATTATTATTGTTATTATTGTTGTAAGACCTTCTATAATTATTGTTATTGTTTCCATTATTGCTATTATGGTTGTTGCGGCAGGACCTACAATCGCATTGCAAGTGTTCAACTTTTCTACAATTGTTGCAGGTACAAGTTTTCCTTTAATTTCCTTCCCTATTATTGCTATTAATATTATTGTTACTAGTATATCTCCTATTATTTAAAATTACCAATTGTTGAAATCCTTGAGAGAGTTGGATAATTGCTGTTTTAATGTCCTTAAGTTCATCAGCATTCTGGTTCAAATAATTGCATCTCTAAGAATAGGTACTCAAAGTAGAATTTCTGGAGTAGGTTAATTCAATAGTATGAGCATGATTAATAGCCTCAACCATATCAAGAGGGCAAGAAATTTTAACTAGCTTCCTCAATTCATCCCTTAATCCATTGATAAATTATCTGGTTTTATTCTCAAGAGAGTAGTTGTTGTTAGGATCAATACACTTGTAAAGAAGAGTTATTGCATTCAGATATTCATCCACAGTTTTTCCTGATTTTTGTATTTGCTACCTTAATTGATTTATCCATCTTGATTTGTGATGAGTAGTATACCAAGTTGCACAAAATTGATATACAAAAGATTTAGTTGGATGTGCTGTATTGTCCTAATAATTAATTTGGTCATTCATAGAAGACCATCAAGTATGTGCAATTCCTTTGAGGTAAGAGGGAAATATTTCAAATTTGTGAAGTTCATTGATGCAATTTGCCTTGCATCCTTAATTAAATTCATTGAGCCAAGTAAGAGGATCCTGCTCTTCTCCTTAAAAGATTAATAGATTCACCAGCTTTGTTTCCCTTTAGTTGTTGTTTCTTGGAGTATTCATTCTAACAATTAATTCAGAGAGTTGTCACAACACATTGATAAAATTTTGAACATTATTTTGTCCATAATTATAGATAGGTTGATTTTGTCACTTCTCCCTTTGCTTATTCCTTTGCCTTTGACCTGATCTATTTCTGCATAGTAATAGTTGTTATTTATACTTCCTATTGTCCTGATGGTTGTCATTACGCTCCTCCTATCCATTACTTTTCTCATTATCATCCTGATCTTGTGAAGGATATCTATTCCAAGATTGATTCAAGTTATAAGGATGGCCTACTTGATCCCAAGAATCCTGAAAAATATATAAGGTAGTGGAAAAGAATGAATTGCACTATATTCATTGTGATTAGAAGTATCCAAAAAGTTAATTGAAGAAGAAAAAGAAGGAGTTTCAAGAGAATGTTTAGGATAAGTAGTTACAAAATCTGGTAGTGGTTTTGGAATCTAGTTATCAAAGTTATTATTTATTCAATTGTCCTTTCAAGAAAAGATTAATCTTATTTAAATATTTTTTTTGAAGAGCAGAGTTCTGTTGTCATTACCAAATGTGATAAAATTTATATTTGACTAGTGTGTTCAAGTGAAATTGCTTTTAAAAGAACAATTTTTAAAGAAAGAATTAAAAAAACAGTTTATAATAAAGAAATATTCAAAAAGAGATTCACCGAGAATCCTTTAAATAGTGTTATACAGTATTTCACAAGAAATATGGTTCACCCAGAACTCAAGTTTATTAATAAATCAAGAAAGCTAGAAAAATTCCTTTAGTCCTAAAATCAAAAGAAGATATACAATCTTTCAAAAGAAAAGTGAAGTTATTTCTAAACTTTCAAAGTCAGTGAAGCTATCTACAAACTTATTTTACTTTTGAGTAAATTATGACTGCTTATATACTTGTAAAAATGAGCCACTTGAACCACTTGAGTCTTCTAGGCCTCTTGAGCCTTTTGGATCTTCTAGGCCTTCTGGGCTACCTGATCTATGGTAAATTATGTCATGTGCTATATTTGATAAGTGATCTATACTAATTAAGTACCAATAAGAATATCAAAAAAATAATTATAAATAAATGGATAAAAATAAAAATAGAATGAAGATCATGACTAAAAATAACTATCCAATTATATTAGAGACTATTTTTATCACAATATTCAATTACTAATATGTTTCATGTCAACCAATCAAATGCCAGGTTATTTATATAATAATTGATTATTTAGATATACAAAGATAAATATTAATATAGTTATTAATAAAATTGAAGATAAGCTAATATGAATAAAACTTTTTTATTTTAAATTATAACTTTCTTTATTATAGTTCTTAATATTTTTATTAAAATATTTCAATTGATTTTTATTTGTTTATTTCAGGTATTAACTTTTTAATCTAAAGTTTTACTGTATACTTAATTCAACTTAATATTCAATAAAACTTTTTTAACAAAACATAATTTTTTATTACTTTATTTCTTACTGAAATATATTATTGTTAAATAAAGTTTTTATAAATTCTTGAGTTGTTTTTCATATTTTTATTGTTAATATATTGTAATTTTATTACTAATTTATCAAGAAATATTAATTTATTTCTTTTTAAAAAAAGAATAGCAATTTTATATTATTTTTATTATCTATTATTATTTTAATAAATATAATATTTTCTTTAATATAAAAATTTTTTTTTATTTTCAGCTGTTAAATACTTTATTATTTGTAATTTTATCAAAGTCAAGATTATAGTAATAAAGTTTTTTTGAATATATTTTTAGATTCCTAATATTTTGGTTGACTTTTTTTGAAATAAATAAATGTTTTAATTCTTGAGACCTTATTATTCTTCAATTGATAAAATAGTATTATAATATAACTTTTGAATTGATTTTTTTATATTTCTTTAAGTTCATATAATTACTTGTTATGTATGCAACTATTTGATATTATATTGTAAATCAGGACTTTATTTTTTAATACTCTTTTAAATATGGTTATCAAATTAATATAAATTTTTTTATTAAAATATATTTTTTATATTTATATTCTTAATAATATATCTTACATATTTTTTTTTATTAAATTCTTGTTACTAATTGTTTGAATTACTAATTTAATCTCTATTTTTATCGACTTTAAAAAGATATATTTATTTTAAAGATAAATTAATTTTTTTTTTTATTTTTTACCAAAAATTTTTAATAAATTAAATTTTCTTTTTAACCATCTTCGTAATGCGATACAATATGTGTTCGTTTAAGGTTTCTTTTTTTTTAAAAAAAAATTACTAATTCTTAAGAACAAATAAGTAAATCAATAAATCAATTTGATCATTTTATCCACTTGTAGATTTTAACTATAACAATTAAAACCCCCCTTCTGAAATCTACGCACGTCTATGCAAAAAAAATTTCGGCTTCCAAATTTCTAAATTAGTAAAAAAAATATTCATTTTTAGATTATATTTATATTGGGTGGCTTGCTATCGTGAAAAACGTTATAAAGTTTAGGCATTCTCAAATTTTAAAGAGAAAAGCTGTATTAAGTTCAATGGAAGGAAGTACCGTCCACAAGGAGCATAGTGCCTTGGAAGAGAGGCTAAAAATTGCTGGTCCGGCTTCTTCTTTATTCAGCGAATCTACACAAAGCCCTTTCGATTCCCTATTTTCCTCCACAAACACTTCAAAAACTGTCAGCGATTCAAAATCCTCGACCCAGCATCATGACTCAGCCTCGTCATTCTTTGAAAATTACAACAGTGGAAATGAACATTCAACCACCACTACACAAACGAATTCGTATTATGGATATTCAAGTGCTCCACAATTTGAATCAGATGCCACAAGTATAGCACAACATAATACATATTATAATGGACATTACTCTTCAGTACAAGCTAATGGCATTAACGAAACAAGTACCAATCAGAATCATGACTATACAGGATCTGGTCATGATAATTCATTATATGCCACCAGTCAGTATTATTACTCACAACAGCAATATTATTATGATCCCTCCCTCGGTTATTACTACGATCCTAATCATTACGATCCTAATCAAAATTACGACTCTAACCAAAACTACGGTCCAAATCTAAACTACGATTCGAATCAGAATTACGACCAAAATCAAACATACAACCCCAATCAAACATATGACCCTAATCAAACGTACTATCCTAACCAGACATACGACCCTAACCAAGCTTACAATTCCAATCAAGCTTACGATTCCAATCAAACTGACGATCTCAATCAAACATACGACCCTAATCAAACCTACGACTCTTCACAATACTATCAATACGGATTTGAGTCGGTGGATAAAAAGCAAGATGCCAATCATATTGATTCTCATGCCTCTTATTCTCACGAGACAATCGAAGATACCGAAGAAAAGCCTAGTGAAGAAAATGTCAAAAATTTAGTTCATAAATTACCGCGTTTGGAAGAAAAATCGGTGGCGACGTCTTCCGAGCATCAAATAGGTAGTTTGACCGACATTCAGACGAACGCATCCGTTGAAATTAGTGACAACGTAAGTAGTCAGATCGACAATAACGGTGACGAGTTAACAACCGCGGTGCTGGAACTTTCTGAAGTTCCTCTAGATTTATCAAAAGTTGACGATAAATCTGTTATTGAGGAGATAGAATTTGAGGAAATTGAGTTCTCTGTACAAAAGGAACGGGATGCCGAAGTTCAGAAAGAAGAATTAGCACCCGTGAAATTTCAAGAACTATCCTCGGTGGAATCATTGGACCATAATCTTGCTGCAGTAACATCCGTAGAGACCATTGAATTAAATCAAGATCATGCACAGTTGTCGGTGACTTCTATTGATAATGAGAACGAGTTACCCCAAAATTCTACGGACGAGAATAATGAATCAAATGGTATAGAGGTCTTCGAAGAGCAAGAAGTTAATATAACTCATGGAGATGATCATGACATATTTGAATATCAACCCCGCGAATTGGAAATTCAACAAAAATCAGATGTTTCCCTTGATGATCAACTTATGTCGACATTAGTAAAAGAAAATGCACAAGTTGCCTCAGATTTAATTACGCTAAACGAGCAGGAAGAAATAAATACATTAGCAATTAAGGAGCCAGAAAAATTGGATGACCTGGATGATTTGATTCTCGGTTCAGCAACATCTAAACCATCAGAAGCATTAAATGAGGGTATTGCAACAAACGCACAAGAAGAACTTAACATTTCTCGAGAAATTGGGGAAGCCGTCGATGGTTCATCCGAATTGTACCAATATAATTACACCAATTCAGACTATTCCTCTGAGCAGTGGGGAACTAATGATGCAAACAAACAATATCAAAATTATGATCCTAATCAGACTTCAGCTGACACAAATAACTATGGGCATTGGGGAACCAGTGATGCAGAAAAACAGTATCAAATTTACGACCCTAGTCAGACTGCCGTCGACACGAATAGTATTATTCATCAATGCGAATATGGTTTAGATCAAAGTGTAGTAAAAGACTCGACAAATGCGAGCAAATTAGATTACTCGTACAAAGAATACTCTGGATATGATGTTAGACAGGATGTGTTAAATGATACTAATATCGGGGAAAATCAGGATATCCCTTACTCTTATTATAACTCTATTCCCGGAGCTGAAACAGTATCAGACAATTGTAACGTCACGAGAGAGTCGGATCCTCCTCATTCAGAACATAATGCTGGTTTAGGAATTGGAACGAATGATTACGGTTATTATTATCAAAATCAAGATTCTAATTCAAACATTATCGATTATACGACCGAAATCCATGACTCAACCCACCAATACTCAGGTTATGATCAAAGCCAAATTGCAGTTCCAACAAATCCTAATGAAACAATAGAAGCTCAAGGATCAAATTATCAATACTCTGGGTATGAACAAAGTCAAAATGCAATTTCAAATAGCCTTAACGAAACAGCATTAGACCAGAGTCGAACAGCTATTGATGGTCAAGAGTCCATCTATCATTATCCAGTTTATGATCAGAGTCGATCGGCTAATACCACGCCTCAGTCAAATACCTCGCCGATTTCTCCAACCCCTAAATTAGTAAATTGTGTTTATCCTCAATGTACAGGAGAAAATAATCCCAGTGCAAAATTCTGTTCAGAATGTGGACGACCAGTCGCTAACTCATCCCGGAATACAACTCCAGCAACTCATTATGGAGAATCAAATTATCATCCGAAACATTCTATGTCGTTTCCTCCATACGCTCTGTCACAAGGATCACATTCCACATCGTCTTTTGCATCTTTTGGTTATCATTCTTCGTCACCTGTATCGGAAGCGCAAAATGCATCAGGGTTGCCACCGCAGTGGCAGTATAATACCGAGGCCACATCTGAGATTAACGATCCATTGGGAAGAACGAAAGGGCACCCCGTCGTGGCATTTGGATTTGGCGGGAAAATATTTACCATGTTTCCTCGTACGGTGCAACGTTTTACTAGTTCGACACAAAATATGCCCATTACGAAATATGCGCCTGGTGTCTTTAAAATTAACACGCTAAAGGATATTATTTCCTTACCGGGTATTGAAGAATTTCCAGGTCCATTATTGATGGATAATAATAAAGGCGGTGTGAAAGCAAAGAAGAAACAAGTATTGAAATATCTGGATGATCAACTTAAGATTTTCGAGGATTCTTTGGGTACTTTTGTCGGTGAGAAAATGGAAAAGAAAAAATTAAAAGATAGTATAATTGTATGGAACATATTAAAAATTATGTTTGAAAATGAGGGCGCCCTTTTTGGAAGGTTCGTCTCATCGTAGACGTAGTACAACGTTTGATTAATTAATGTACACATTATGAATTTCATAACATCCGTTGCCATTCTTTCATATAGTTCGAAGGTCGAGGAGGCTGTACGAAGTGTCTTGGTTCCATCTGTAAAAACGAGAGATGACGATGCCAATTTTACTGTTCCCGCTGATAATGATTTTGACTCCCAGCAAAGTTCATCAGATTCTCCTGCTACACCTCCAATCGTGTATACCGTTTCACCTGAAGCAATCGACACGATGCAAGGCCTACTACTCAAAGGGGATCGCGTGGCTGCTATAAATCATGCAATGAATGAAAACTTATGGGCCCACGCTCTGATAATCGCAAGTTGTGTTAATAAAGAACAATGGAAGGAAGTTGTGAGTGGTTTTGTCAGGCATGAACTGGGATCTCAAAATAGCGACTCCCCTCAACTAAATGGAAGGGAAAGTTTACGGGTATTATATTCTTTATTTGCTGGACACGGTCAAAATTCTGGTAAAGTTTTAACTATATGTGTTCGGGGTATTTAAAGAATTTTATTTAATGGATATTTTATTATCGATACATAGTTAAACATTTTCTGCCTCAACCAACGTTGCTCAATCGTGCTACTTATTCATCGGCCACCATATATCCTAATCACCAAGTGCCCAACCCCACTAATAATGCACAATATGGATCCCCGTATTCATCTTCGGCTGCGAGTGATTCACCTCTCGAAAACCTAGAGAGGTGGCGAGAAACTTTGGCAATGATTTTAGCCAATCGTTCACCCGGAGATAACCAAGCAATTACCGCATTAGGAGATATGTTAAAAGAATGTGGATGGATTCATGCTGCTCATATCTGGTACGAATTTTGGATTGTTTGAACGCTCTTTTTTGCAAATATATCCTTTCTGTAATTGCTGTAATTGCTTTCCACATTAGCTATATTTTATCTCCACAAACATCCATTCATTCTGGAGTTGACGCGCCTAACTCACGTTACACGCTTGTGGGTTACGATCACGCTTATAATCAAATGACCCGCTCGTTTCACGATTGGAAAGCATTGAGACTCACTGAAATTTATGAGTTTGGGCTTTCGCTGAAAAGTAGCGAAGCTGGCTTACCATTCCTACAACCTTACAAACTCATATATGCTTGGTGGCTGGTTGATTGTGGATACCTGGACGAAGCCAGAAGGTGATTATTATTATTATTATTATTATTATTATTATTATTATTATTATTATTATTGTTGTTGTTGTTGTTCTATAATTATATCTATTCGAGTTAAATTCGATCATCTACTGTTAAATAACACATAGGTACTGTGAATCCATCGCAAATATTGTGAAGGTATATTCCAAAGGTTCACCATATTTTCACGGATGCTTTTTGCAAAAATTGAAGGACCTCACACAACGTTTACTCGAACATGGTGGTAATAATAAGTATGTTTAATGTATGTCTGTTTGGATTTATAAATATTTTCATCTACCATTTTTAAGTAAATTTCATATTTTTTAATAAATTAGCACGAATGAATCGTCATCCTGGCTATTCGCTAAGAAAATGCCTAAGGCGACCCTCGATTCTCTATGGGGTTCTCTGGAAGGAAAATTCAATAAATTTGTTGCCGGTGATAATGTGGATGAAAGTGGAGAGAAACCTTCCGACTCTCAGGAAGCTGTTGGACCTTACTCTTATTTCGGCGCCAGCACGAATCCAACCTCGAATGTTCCATCCCGTAGTGCCTCTGCCGTAGATTTTCGCTCAGCTTCTAATTCGACAGCATCCAATGTGACACTGCAAAAGCCGGTTAATGGGCGACAACGAAGATCTTCAACACCTGGTGTGAAAAACGCGCACGCCGATGCTCATGCGATGAATGGATACCTTTCTGGCACACTCAGTCCAGCAGCCTTTGATGGACAGACTTCGGTATCTCCTGTTCCCGAAGGTCAATCTTCTATAGACAATGCTAATAATTACGGGTATTCGGGTCAGGGACAGAATATGAATTCATTTTCTAATCCTAGCATTTTTCAACCTTCGGAAACTGGAAATTCAAATACATACCAATACGGATCAAACTTGTATAGTCAACAAGCTCAACCGGATTACAACACAATTTCTCCAACTGGTTATGACACCGGACCCAATGCGATGCAACAGAACAAAGATCAATCTACATATTCATATTACAATTCGTACGAAAACCCAACATATACAAATAACTCTGATTGGTGGGGTAGTTCTTATTCTGCGACCAATTATAACCAAACGCAAGATCAGACACAAACCAATAACTTGGAGGGTGAATTTATATCACCTATGGATAACAAATTAACCCATTTTTCATCGGCTCCCGAACCAGCCACTTCGAAAGACAGTAATAATGAGTGGAACGATGATCTAGGATTAAGTAATAATTCTTTTTCAAAAAAGAAGAATGTGGAATTCAAAGAGTACACTGAAAATGACGAACACGTGAAAACACA